CTGACAAGGAATGATGGTGTTCGACACAGCTATAGCATAGTGTTGAGCATCACAGCAACTTCACGATACTTAAGTACAGCAAATAGACCATCGACTGCTGTACCACTTAAAGAGTGTTCATCCCAACATTAATTAAATCGAGCAAAAAGTTCAGCCAGCTGACACCCAGCTTGTGGAGGGATAAAAACCAAAACTTTCCTTATGTGACCCTCAACAAGATGCATGAAACCAACTTTAACTTCTAGAGTAGGTAAAAAAAAAAAAAAAAAAAAAAAAAAAAAGAAACCCACCAAACAAACAAAATAACACTCAAACTCATTGCCATCCAATCAGAACCTACTTATAGGTGACCGTCCAGTGGGTTTTCCAAGGTTGTAAATTGCTTATCTTTGTCCAACGGTGTTATGCTTGTAGAGTCAAATCTTCAACAAGGCATGGTCTTTGGATTAGCAGTTCAATTCTCTACGAACTCCTCCAACCAGAGCTTTCTCACTTTCAAAAACACTCATCATTATTAATGATTAAGCTCTGATAGTAAAATTCATGATGTGTTTCACTGTTACCCAGAGGCCTTACATCTGTGGTGGCTTTAATCTACCCATTGCTCCAAGGTAGAAAGATGAGTAGTCTCTCCTTTCATTGATTTGTAGCCTTAGAAAGCTGATGGAGAGCTGTGAAGAGACAGAAATAAACTGGGCAGCAGTGAGATTTTGTGAATGATTGGGGAATCAACCCTAGTGGAACAATGATTAAGTGATCAGTTACTAATCTAAAGGTTGATAGTTTAAACATAACAGCAGCTCTTTGGGAGAAAAGATCTGAGTTTATAAAGATTACAGTTGAGGAAACTCTCTAGGACAGTCCTTATGTTATTGTCTGTCAATTCAGCTACTAGTCATAGTGACTTTATGAGCAATGGTTCTGAAACTTACTTCAACTCTATATACAATTTGAAATATGTCTGCACTGCTTTGGTGGATATATAATTTTCCAGTAATATATGCAAGAGTCAATATTTTATTTTGTTCAAGTATTTATCAAGGATTATAATTTCATAAATGATGTTTTCAACTTCAATGTTGTGCTCATTGAATCACCAATTCAAAATACCTGTACTAATCTACATTGCTGGCTACTTCAGACAATGCTCAATATTGAGTTGTTGTTGTTGTTGATAAGTGTCGTCGAGTTGTAGACAACTCATAGTGACCCTATGAATAAAAGACCTGAACACTTATATAACTTTCATTGTTTCTCCAAGTTCATACAGTTTCCGGAGGCAAGCCATTTCAGAAAAGGATACCACTCCTGTTTCCAAGCTTGTTTTAATCAGGGGGCTCCACCAAATGCTGTCCAACATGGGAAACCATTATCACACTTGACACATCAGTGTCACAATATTTAACATCACAGCAACCATGAGTTACCTCTGTAAGCATATGGACAGACCAGTTCTATCCTACTTTGAAAATGTTTGATCAAAAACAATTAAAACCAGGCCTGAGGGCCACAGATTAAAATCACCCACATTTGTCTTGGTATCATAACTCTATCCACTAGGCCAATAGAGCTCTACATTGTAGTTGTTGTTCAACATTGAGTAGCAATACTTAATCTTGAAGTGAAAATCTGGTCATTTTATTTTCTCTTTCAGTGCACTTGTGCAATAAAATATATTTAATTATATTAGTGTTGTTTTGTATTCATTGTATTAGTGTTTGTTTTCTTTTGGCCTTTCCATTTTACTCATACTAATGTCAATATAAGATTGTTTTAATTATACAATGAATCCTACTTTGGACAGAATGTATTGCTAGATGATGTCAAGTATAACTCATAGGGACCCTATGACCAGTCAATTTGAACCCTGTCCTTTCCTGTGCTATCCTCATCATCTCTAAAACACTCAAGCCCATTGCTAAGGTCATTAAGTCAATCTATCTTCTTGAAGGTCCTCCTCTCCTTCACTGACCGCCCCGCCCCCCCCCCATCTTTCAAGAATGATGTCCCTCTCCAAGGAATAGCCTGGCCTAACTACTTTTCTGAAGTGTGAAAGATAAAGCTTCACCATCTTTGCCTCCAAGAAGCACTCCAGCTGTACTTCTTCAAGACATTTGTTTGTTCTTTTGACAGTCCATGGGATATTCAGCACTTTTCTCAAGTACCACACCTCAAAGACATCAATTCTTCTGTCATCTTTATTCATCATCCAGTTCTCAGATGCATAATAAGTGACTGAAAAGACAATGGCCTGGCCTGAATCAAGTGCACCTTCATCCTCAAGTTGACATCATTGCTGTTCAGTAATTTGGTGAAGTCCCTGACTACAGACTTTTCCAGTGCAATACATCTCCTGAGTTCCTCACAGCTAGTACCAAAGTTGTTGATTGTGATTAAAGAAAGGTTAAACCATTGACAGCATCAATTCTTTCTCTATTATAATATTGACTGTTGGTCTTCTGGTGAAGATCTTTATTTTCTTGATGTTGAGATGTAATCCATACTTAAGGCTGCAGTTCTTGACCTTCCGCAGCAAGTATTTAATATCCTCCTCATTTTCAGCAAGCAAAGTTTTGTCATCTGCATAATGCAGGTTATTTATGAATCTTCCTCCAACACTGATGCCACACTCTTCTTAATGGAGTCTGGCTTCATGAATTATTTGCTCAGCATACAGTTTGAATAGATATTGAAAAAGGATATGACCCTGACATACACCTTTCCTGATTTAAACCATGCAATGTTTCTGTGCTTGGTTCGAACAATAGCTTCTTGTTCTAGGTATAGATTTAGTATTAACACAATTAAGTGTTCTAGGATTCCCATTCTTCTCAATGTTAGTCATAATTTGTTATGATACACAAATTCAAATAGATTTATTATAGTAAATAAAACCCAAAAGGACATTCTTCTGGTATTTTTTGCTTTCAGCCAGGATCCATATGACTTCAGCATTGATATCCCTGATGCCACAGCCTCTTCTAATGCCAACTTGAACTTCTATTATTTCCCTACCAATGGGACTTCCCTAGCTATATTTTAATGATCTTCAATAACATTTTTGTTTGCATGAACTATTAATGATATTGTGTATTAATTTCTGATTCTGTTGGATTACCTTGCTTGGGAATGGAGACAAATATTTTATTATAACTTGATTTTTATTTATATTTTATGATTTTTTAAAGTTATCTTTAAAATCTATGTGCAAGTAGTTCATATTATCTATGAATCTCATGTCATAATAATAAATAATTATAAATGTTAAGTTTGGAACCAATGAGGTAAGTTCATGCCTGGTAAAAAATGAGGCATCAGAACCAGGATGCAGTTACATGCGTAGAATGAGTGTTTTGGGCACATGAATGACATCAAAGGCAGTGTCCTGTGATAAGAACCATCCCTAAACTTTTAACTTTCCATAACAATGTCTCACTGGCCCAAACTATATCCCCCAGGCACATCCAGACAAGGAAGCCATAAATAGGACCTCCCCTCAGTGGCATACTACCTTCTCTATTATATTACCTCCTTTATGAGAAGGAAGGCCCTTCTCATTCTTTGGGACACACACCTCTTTTAATAAATCTGTCTTTTAAGAAATCTTTCTTTTTATCTTTACTTCTGCCTCCTCACCTTTCTTCTCACCCTTATGCTTTGTAAAAAGAGCAAGGGCCATGTGGAGACAGCTTTATATGACCTTTACCAACTTCAGAAAGGGGAACTTGTTATAAGCAGTTTAAGTATAAGAAAATATAATAAAGCATATTATAGAGAATATCATAAATGTGTTATGAAAAATAATAAATTTGATATGAAAACTTAGTGATTTAAATGTAAGAATAAGAAGGGCTGGGAAATTGCTGCTATATGTTAGATAAGTTGTTGTTGTTATGTGCCATCGAGTCGCTTGCAACTCATAGCAACCCCATGTACAACAGCCCTAAACTCTGCTCTGTCATATGGTTGGTTATGCAACTTGTTTTGAAACTAATATGGTTGGTAAAACCCAAAGTTTGAATGTTGTTATTCTTAATATTATTGGCTGAATATGATGAAAACCAAAATTTGAATGTTATTGGTTGAACACGTAATACCCACTAAAAGTATATACACCCTGGGATCACAACTAAAATGACATTTCTGAAGAAAATAATGAGCTGAATATTGAAGACCCAAAGGTTCTTTTCAGAGCCAAGGACTCTGGCCTATACTGATGGACATGAGCTACTGAGACAGGGGAAGATTCTGCCCACACTGACGGAGGACTGTTGAACTAGCCGAGAACCCCCTCACTGCACCAGTGACAATGAGAGACAAAAGAATGAGAGTTGGGATCCTAGGCGTGAGTGAGTGTTCCCCATTGTTAATGAGTCAATAAGTTGTGATGAGTTTATGAACTGCAATGTAGATAAATTGCCATTAAATGTTTAATTCTTACTATGAATTAATGAATCAATACATTGTGATGAATTTATGGATTGCAATGTAGAATAATTATAATTATTGCTATGAATTAATCAATAAATTGGAATTGGCTTTTGTAATATGTCTACTAGTAATTAATTAAGGCGTAAGGCTCATGACAGGAACTGTTCCCATCAACAGCAACAATAACAGGAAACCAATTCCCATGAAGGCAAACATGCCCCTCAGCTTCCACATCTCTTTTCCTAGTCATCTCAATATCAATCTAAATGCTTTACTTGGTCCAAAATCTGATGCAATAGCTTACAGATCACACAGAATCATGTTGGGTAAGTCAAAAGGTTATAATTCAGGTTGTAGCTGAACACAGTCAGAATGGCTTCCAAAATGTCCTCACAGTCACCTCAGCCTTGAGCCTTATGGCTTTCAGCCAATGCTGGAAAGCTCTCAGTCCTCTAAGTTATGGCACCCACTCCCAGTCGTCCAACAAACTTGAGCAAGGGCTCTTAGCTCTACTTCCAGTAGTTTTGCAGTCCCAAAGCCCCATCTCAGGTCAAGTCTCTGGATAAACCATGGTTGCTGCTGCTGCCATAGGTGTAACCCGAGCAAGAATGTCTGGTCCCAAGGGTATCCTACATTCTCTTGCTCCTGCTTCTTTCCTGGAACAAGTAATGTCTAATTCTCCTGTTTCTGGATTGCTCAATTTAATGGTGAGACTAGCCTATCCCCTTGTGGATTGGTGATATTAGCCAATCCCCTTGTAAACTGGTAGATAGCCAAATCCTTTGTGAATGGGCTAACATACTCCATTTGCATGTTCCCACTCACCTATATGGTAAAGTCAAACTATGGCTAGGAAAGTTATATTGAAAGATAAATTCTACATGTTCTAAAGAGAACTTGGATTCTTTGCCCAGCAATAGAAAAAGGTTTCAGCCTACATGGATATTATTCTAAGATTAGGCTCAGCTTTTCAAGGGCCCCCACACTGTACATTAAAATCAGCTTTCTCTGAGAACACTAAAATTGCTGTACACTTTGCTACTTTGGTAGTTTGGGCACTGTTACTATCCTTTCTTCCAGTCTATGCTGTGTGGTTTAATTCTTTCACCAGGCAATGGGAGTGAATGAGGATATTTACTTCATGCTAATATAAGCATATATTATAATTTGGTCTAAATGAATTGTTAGGGGAAAATATAACTATAATTAACAATGTATTGTTTTGTTTTGTTTCACTTCGTTTCATTTTGTTTTGTTTTTAACCAAAACTACTGGGAGCTCTGGTGGCTTAATGGTAAGGAATCACACCATCAACACAAGGATATTCAGTTTGAGGCCACCAGCCACTCCTCAGAAGAAATATGGATAATCAGTTCACTTGTGATTTACTGCCTTTGAAAAGTTACTGAAGAGATTCTGACTCAACAGAAGACAGATACAACTGGGATATGTGGGGGTGTAATCTGTGGGTAGCTGTGCTGCTAACTCAAAGGCAATGCCTATTTGGAGGGTCAAATCTGCCAATGACTCACACTGGACAACCATTTACTATGCAATTTACAACCTGCTGGGGGGTCAGCTATGAGTTGGTTCTAAGTTAACAAATGATAAAATTATTGTGTCCACATAGCACAACAGTGAAGAGTGGTTACAAAGCCAACTGAATTGTATTGTCTTGTAATGTTTTTCCAACAGCGCTCATTACTCAATTCACAGACATCTTTATTTCTAATGAGTATGACAGAAAAAGATGAGGATCACTTTGACCAAGGTCTTAAACTCATCTCACAATATGAGAGAGTGTGTAACATGTAATTGATAAGAGAATAAATATGAAAAGAAAAGCAGTAAAAGGTTTGTCTTATATGTTAAACACCTTGTTGTATTGTCAAGGGTTTACTTTTCAAAATGGCTTCCCAATCCTCCACCTCATTAAAAGACATGGCCCAAATCACCACCCTTAGTTCTTCTGGAGATATAGGATATACTTCTGCATTCTTATAAGAAGAGTGCATCTGAATTGTATTGTGGTTTCCTATCCCCGTCTCAACACCACAGCAGCCCCAACACCTGCCCCTGCTCACCTGAGAAAGCTACATCATCAACACCTGCACAAGCTTCTCTAGGACCTTCCAGTGAATTGCTGAGCCCAAAAACACTGAAGGAAAGTTTGGGTTGGGGAAAGGAGGAAGAACAGTTAATGTTAAAAATTATAGAGTAGTACAATACATTAAATGTTTGGAACACATTTGATATCCCCTTTTAGTAACTTATCTGATATTAATCTTACAAGAAAGAATTGTAAAATCACCCTAGAAACTACAAACATTTTTTTTAAATGCTGCGGTTAGCCAAGGTATTTAGATTTGATAATTTGAATGAGTATACAATTATATTTGAATCATTGACCTAGATTTTTCTTAGTTTCATTCCTCTACTTAGTAAAATTTTGAGGATAAAATAAAAATCAGTTCCCACACAGCTTCTGTCAAATGTAAAGTGAATGGTTCTATTGATAATAATGTACACATGAATGATAAATTAATTTATTCTAAAATTTTTATTGTGCTATATAAGCATACAGAGTAAATAAAGTTTTTATATGTAAGCATTGCTTCAAGTGACACAGCTTCATCATTATTTGCCCTATTAACATAAATAATACAATACAGTATATAATTAAGATAATATCATCACTTAAATGCTGAGTAATAATTGGAATTTCACTTAATAAAAGCTTAAATTCAATATCCAAAAGGTAACAGGCACATTTTATAATCTCCTTAAAGAAGATATATTTCTGCTGTGTTTTATTTTTATTTTTGTTTTTATAATATGCTACTGATAAAGCACTCAAGGCTTAGTTCACAAATATACATTGTATTTTTTTAAGTATAGGGATATACAACATAAAAGATCTCATTATTATCTCCAATTGGAAATAAAAGTTTATGTAAAGCTTGAAGATGAAAGAAATGCTTTGTTATGAAACCATTAGGCAAGGATTTATTTTTCCCTAAAGAATAAAAATAATTGTATCTGTATAGACTTGACTTTATACTACATTTAATGTTTCTAAATTTGAAGATAACTTCTATTAAAGTTATCCAAGGCGTATCCCCAGGCACCAACAATGAGTACTTGAAAGGATGCTATTATATTGTGTGTTTTTCTTTTCTTATCAATTTATTACTATGTGCATCATCTAGAATTGATATTTGTCCCTTAGCAGTTGGTTTAAACACAGATCTTTTGTTTTTTAGGGTCAGAGTATATTTTTAGAATGAAAGAACAATATATTAAAGATGTATTGATCAAAACAGCTTTCCTAGCCATGACTTTGCCATGTAGATGAATGGGCACATAGGGATATGGTATATTAGTCTTTCCACAGAGGTTTAACTAGTCTCACCATTAAAGTGAATGGATCCAGCAGCAGAATTTGAGAATCTTACCACTAACAAAGAAGCCAAGAATGCAGAGTGTATATCCTTCAAAGCCAATAGATTCCTATGCCACTCAGATTGGGCCTACAGGAGCAGATTTAGCAGAGAACAGAGAGCTGATGTGAGACTAAACTGACCTTGGGACTGCTGCCCCATGAAACTAGAACGAAGAGCCTTTGCTTAACTTTCTGGTAGAAATTACAGGGGACACCATAATCGGCAGGACTAGGAGCTTTCTAGGGAGCTCTGGCAGCCTAAGGGCAAGGAGTCTGAGTCCACTCGATCTTTCGGGGAAGAAGCATGAGCAATCTCCCTTCACGAGATTAAGTGCCTCTGAAAGCTCGCTGGAAAATTAGAGACCAATCAATCTCAACTCAATGGCAAACAACAAGAGCTTTATTAACACTGGCCAAAATCCACAATGTTGAAGGCTAAGGGATTTACAAGCACATTTCAGCAGCTATCCTGAGTGATCGTATTCTGCCACCAATCTGAATTACAGGCTTGGGGGTTTTTTTGCGGTGTTTTGTTTTGTTTTTTGTTTGTTTGGTTTTGGTGGGTTTTTTTTTAACTTCCCTAGGGACCAGTCATTGGGGAAGAATATCATGCTTGGAAGGGTGGAGCGACAATGCAGGAGAGGAAGATCCCGGATGAGATGGATTGATACAGTAACTGAAGCAATGGGAGTAACAGTGATAGTGAGACTAGCTCAGGATAGGCCAGAGTCAGAGCTAAGTGCTTAGCATCCTTATGAGTCGCAGGCTGCTCAATGGCACATAACAAGAACAACAATAAACCGTTAAGTATGAATATGTTCGTGTGTACTCTGTGTGCTATTGCAACAGAATATGGACTCAGTAGAGAAGACTGGTATTGGAATTAGTAGAAAAGGTGCAGAAGTGTGGAGGACATGTCTGTCCTCAAGGGTATTGGTTTTGTATTGGATGTTGTTGACAGGGACAGTTATCCTTTGTGGAGTTAATAGAGAGATCTGATATGGCCATTCCCACACAGTCCTTGCTCTTTTTACAAGGAACTATGCAAGAACCTCAAAATCTAGGTGTTTGCTATTAGACAGACTCCTGCCTAGGATGCAGGTCAAACAAAACAACCAAACACTCCATTTTAGTCTGTTTTACTTATTAACTTTTAGAGAAGCAGCTTAAAGAACCTATTTTCTGATATGTTTATAAAGGGACTTGAGAAATAGGATAGCTTAAACTAGATAAAAGGAAGAAATTGTTTTCTCAGCAGCAGACTGTAACATCAAAGATCACAATAATTATTGTTTAGGGAATGTTCCAGGAAAAAGCTTCTTAAAAATGCTTTCAAAAGCTAAGAGTCCATATGAGAAAACAGATTGTTAGTCCTTTACTCAAGAGGTTAGTTAGTTGTGAGAGTACTTTTTATGAGAGTCCTGTAAAACTGAGGTGTACTACCTGATTAAAAATGACTATGTTGTTGTTATATGCCATTGAATTACCCACGACTCATAGCAGCCCTATGTACAATAGCTCTGAACCCTGCACTATTCTGAGCCTGTCTCACTGACTCCAACACACCTAACTCCATTGCCCCAAGTTACCATGTCAATACTGGGTCTAAATCAAAGCTCCATTGTTGAATTGAACTTGTTTGAAGTCTTCTTTTCTGCTTTTCTAAAAACAAAGCTGGATTTAAGAGCTGTGAAACCACCCCCACCAGACAGAGAAGATAAGAATATTGTTTGTGAGGGAATCTTTGTCAATAAATGTTTGTCAAGATGGTCTCATATAAATGTAGAGCAGGTCTCAGGAAGAATGTATGCATAGCTTACCACTTGGCTTCAAGAAATTTATATTAGATAGTAAAGTTGTTTATCTTATAAAATAATAATTTGCTATTGTCTTTTAACCATGTATAATTTTGAGCCCATGTGATTATGGTCACAATACTCCCCTTCACACTTTTCTACATTAAAAGTATATCTCTGTCTCAGAATATTATTTTCAACTAGCGAGCTCTGATAAGCTAATGGATGGATGTTTGCCCTACTAACCTAAAGATGGGTACATCAAATCTACCAGGAAAGAAAGATGAATAATCTTTTCCTATGTGATACAAAAAATTGAAAACTTGCTGGAGAGTCAGCCATGAGTTAATTATGATTCTACTGCAAATGAATTGTTTGTAATCTTC